GTTCCTATTGCCAGGAAGTTCCTCCTAATGCTTAGCCTAAATTCCTTTGCTTTTAATTTGTTTTCGCCATGCTCTCCACTGCATCAGAAAACTAAATTCTTCCATCACCTTTATATACAGCAGTCTTCAAATATATTTAGGAGGCTGTAAATCTATGGTACTCACTCTCATCTTTCGGTACAGAATCTTCATTGTATAAAGCTATTTTCTCCACAATTTTTAAAGTTTCCAATTACTCATTATTACCATGACAGAAGAATAGCACCTATAAAGGTTTTTATTTCATATCATATTTTCAAAGGATCTTGTTCCATGGCCTAAAAGGTCATTTTCCAGATGATTTCAAAAACGTGGTACAAATTAAGCCCTTGCAACAGTTACCTTATAGATCATTTTTATGCATGATGCACTCAAAGGCTACATGGCATTTTTTAATTCACTTTTGCTTCCACATTTTTAAAATGGCATTTTTGCATGCCTTGATTTACTGGGTACCGCCTTTGCAGGTTTTAGAAGAAAAGCTAGAAATAGAAATCATAATTACGGCTAGGAAAACAAACCTCTTTTTCTGCTTTAGGTGGTAATATATTTGCTGGTGAAAGAATAAGAATAATCCTGCACTGCTTTGAAAAACAGAGCAGACTCACATACACCCAAAAGGCACAAATCTCTCTTTCTCTAGACCTAAGAATGCTATGGAGAATTGTGGGCCACAGCAATCCATGCTAATCTGGGAACAAATCCCTTTCCTAGTTTGCATTTTGCCTTAATCCATAGAAATGTATTTCCTTTTTCCTTTGCCTCAGAGATGGAAACAAGTTTTCCAAATCCTTTAAACTTCAGAACGGTGAGGTTTACATAGTGAAATTAACATCTACAGTAGCATCATTTAGGATCTATTTAATTGTATTTTTCTCCTTGTCCTTTTAAGAAAAAAAAATCAAGGCAGGGTGACAGATTGCAGAATGGCTTTCAGAAGTGAGTGTCCTATGGGGCAATATGAAGATGTGTTCTTGAGCTTTACTTCAGGAAATCAGAAGAAAGAATAGCCACTATGCAGCAGTGAGCAAGCTAACCAAATTAGTTCCCTTACAAAAACTATGGGAAAAGCATGACATTATAGAAAAAACATTAAAAAGTTCTGGTTATTTGGCAGCAATCTGCTGCAAATCACTCAATAGTGATTCATTAGAACTTCCTCAGTTATCCTCCATAAAAAAAAAAAAAAACTAGCAGAAAACATTGGCTGACTTAGGCTAGCAATGTCAAAAGGCTCTGGCTGGGGAAAAAAGGCCCAGACAGATTAGGATTCTGCTTCCATCATTAAAGGCATCTGTCAATTTACAATTATCATAAACAAGATGCCTTTACTTGGCATCTGCATCAATCCATCCTCAAATTTTGCTCTATGTTCACAAGAAGTAGAAATCACAGGATGAAAGGTATGGAATTTGAGTATATTTATTAGATTTTTATCCCACCTTTATTATTTTATAGGTATCTCAAGGAAGCAAACATATATAATACTCGTCTATGGAGATTCTCAATCCTCCAGATCATGGTTGTCCCAAAAGTGTTTTTCCAAAACGCAACTGGACTTTTTTCTTCAACTGAAGAAGCTTCTTGGATGAGAAGCGAAACATTTTCAAGGAAAAAAACAAGAAAGTCCAATTGTGTTTTGGAAAAGCACCTTCGGGATACATAATACTGCTTTCTCCTCCTATCTCCCCCACAATAATAACCCTATGAGGTGGGTTGAGCTCAGAGACTGACTGGCCCAAAGTCACCCAACTGGCTTTCATACCTAAGGCAAAATTAGAAATCATAGCCTCCTGGTTTCTAAGTCAGATTTTTAACCAGTACACCAAACTGACTGAAATTAAATTAAGTTTATTAAATAATTATTTCATTTGTAGAACTACAGGCTGTGCAGAAATAATTCCTGAAATGCTTCCACAGTGTACACCTCTACCCTATTTCTTTATGGGGACCAATTTATCTATATTTTCTAGTTGCCTTATTTTAATGCAGAGCATTTAAGGACAAGAAAAACAGAAAAAGAGTGCAAAGTTTCAGTTTTAGGCAAAACAAATTCCATTTATTCTGGGGGTTAGCAAAGGTATATAGTACCCTGTTTTACAGAAATAGCATTTCAACTGGAAAGTATACCTCAGCTTGTGGATATTGAAAGCTTAATACATAGTCACTAAAATGAAGTACTGTGAAGAACTGTTCAGAAACTTCAGGAGTCCATAAGAAGTTGACATTGTCAATTTATAATTTCTTTCCCACGGGTTTTTGCCATTTTTCTAATTCTATATTGGATCCAAAAAATTTTGCCCATCTTATCATTGTTTCTTTAACTTGTTCGCTTTCCATTTTCAAATGTAATAGAAAATTATAAATTTACTTAGTTTCTCATCAGAGGTTAATAATATCTTATCAAACAAGGTTTGCTCCATATAAAATCCATAGTTTAACATCTTTATCATATATAACTTACATTTGTAAGTATGCCCACCATGATAGATTGATACTCTGATTTTCCATTTCTTGTTTAGATTTTAAGTTCCCTTCAGAATTTAGAATATCTCTGTATGTCCGGATTTTTTCAAAATTGACTAAATTTGGATGTACGAATGCTTTCATTGTTGAAAACCAACCTGGAATTTTCAGATATATTTTACATTTTATTTTTTCCCATGTTGATAATAGTGCATTTCTTATATAGTGGTTTTGAAAGTACTTATGGATTTTATTTTTCCCATACCATAAAAAACTGTGCCACCCCAGTTGTAAATCATGTCCCTCCAAACATAATAACTTTTTCCATTCTTTTACCCATGTTAATACAGATGCTTGATAATATAAGACCCACTCTGGCAAACCAAAACCTCCATTTTCCTTGGCTTCTTGTAACATTTTCATCTTGATTCTAGCTTTCTTTCCTTGCCAAATAAATTTCAAAATTAATGAATCCTTTTCTTATAAAGAAAATTTATATAAAATGTTTTATAGATGGCACTTGCCACCAGCAAGATTAGCAAAAATGTTTAAAAAATGTGTCAGATAGATGTTGGAAATGCAAACACAAGTCGGGTACTTATTACCATGTTTGGTGGATATTTGCCAAAGCAAACAGTTATTGGAAAAAATGCATACGTGGCTAGAAAAGATGTTGGGAAAATATGTAGATTTTAAATCAGAACTTTTTTTATTAGGTATAATGCCAGAAAAGACTGATAAACAAAGCATATATTTGATTCTATATGTAACAACAGTGGCAAGAATTATATTTGCACAGTATCGGAAAAATGAAGAAATATCAGATGAAGAAATAATTTAAACAATACTAGAATGTGCGAAGATGGATAGACTGACTTTGAGGTTGAAAGAAAAAGAAGAACTGAATATTATCAAACTTGGGACTTATTTTATCAATGACTCGAGGAAAGATTAAGAGATTAGGAATTAAATCTGTATTAATGAATGTAAACTCAGACAACACATTTGTTGAAAAAGTACTATTGAATGTACGAAAAAATCAGTATTACTTTACTGATTAATAAACTGCAAAGCAAGTACATTATTTTCTATTGTTTCCCTCATACAATGACAAACATAGTTTCTCCTTCTTTATAACAGGTCTATTGATAGAGCAGATATGTGTTTTTCTCTGGTATTAAATAACTAATATTTCTTATTCATCTCAAATATATGGCTTTATACACACCTACATTTGGCTTAATTATTCAGAAATGTAATTCAAGCTGCTGGTTATCTTCAAGAACTTTTATTCCAAATAGAAATTGCCTGCCCCAGAAACACTTTCTTTTATGGTGTGGTGGTGATGAGCAATTTCTACAGGAGGCTCCCTTGTGTGAAATGGAATCCATCCAGAATAAAACCTGTACTCTCCTAACATTTACAAAGTGTTTAAAAACTTGCCTAGTCCAAAAGCTTTTGGGAACCAAAGCAGCTGTTAGGTGGCTGTACCTGGTACAATTTAAGGTCACTAGTAACATGTATTATTACTGGTTGTGATGATTAGATCGGTTACTCGCATTTGTTTTATGGTTACTGCATTTCTTTATGTTATTCTATCAGTATGCTTGCAAGCCATTTAGTGTTACAGTGATTTGAAGTGGTGTATAAGCTTTCATCAAGAAAATAAATGGCTTGAATATAAACATCTTCTGAAATGTTCTTGTGACATAATGGAGCAATAATACAATCCATCATTGGCTAAAGTTAAGCGACTTAGGAGAGGGTGAATTAAAAAACATGGATTTTGCAAGAGCTGAGTATAAAAAAAGGAAACATATGTAAATATACCATCGTCACTATTATAGGAGTATTACCTTCAGTTATTAAACTATCCTACTAGTTTAACCTATAACATTAACTTATCCTATAATATCCTAATTAATGTATTTCTCTGACTATCCCAGCTTAATCTTACAGCCAATTTTTTTAATCTCCTTACTTAGATTATAAAAATATGAAACCTCTTTTTTCTTCATGATTGACGATACTGTGCTTATTTGCTACCTTCTTCACCTGAAAGGAGGTACTCAAAATTTCCTCTGAGGCAATTAATAGTTGAAGAACTTTTACATTTTAAGCTTTCTACTATCTAGGAAACTATGGCAACTATGACAAAAATGTGTTTGTTTGCAAATTTTTCAGAGCAAATGAATGACATGCTAAACATTGCTTTCCAGAACATAAGCAGAGCAAGGACAAAAAAGCGGGAGCTGAAACTTATATTTTAAATATGAATTTAATCACATTTTCATTCAATTAATCAAGTTCAGTTAATATGATTATCCCCTCTACATTTAATTCTTTGCACTTCCCAGTCTATGTTACTAAAAACCAAGAATTTTCACAAGGGAACTGGAAGGCCATCAGCTGTGAATATTTGCTCTACGGAATGTACATGATTTTGATACAACTGAAGGAAGGGAAAAGGAAAATGTATCTATGGCTCAACTTACGCGAATTTTGATGATCCTTGTCTTTGTACCACAATTCTTCTTAAACAGCATCTTCTAAAAGAGAAGCAAAAACCTAAGGTGAAAGTCAGCTGAAGCTTGAATGAGGAATGTAACATCACCTCATAATGAACATCAGTGGCATACTAGAAAGGAGCATGAAGAGTGCATTAAAATATTTTTTTAAAAATCCCACTTTGAACTTAAGGGGTGTTATTGTGTTGGAAATGGGGAGCAGCTCAGAATGACTGTGTGATCTCCAAGTGAGATAGAAGAAAAAGAGATTAAATTTCTTCTGGTTGCAGGTATTACCAGTTGGTATATAATAGGACTCCCTTGGTGATAACTCACCTTTTTTATGTTATCCTGTTATATTTTACTCTTGGTTAACTAAAATGGCCTTCCACACAGCTGTGTGCCTGATATGATTATCAAGATGCAATTCATTCTAAAAAAAAATCGCAAGCATTTTCCTCTATATATAGCCATTGTGATTCCCTACATACTCAAATTTTAAATATTAGTTTAGCAATATTTTTACTCTTCCCTAAACAATTATTTTTACAGTGTTCACTGAGGAAAAAGACCATTAAACCCATTTAAATCCATGACACAGGTTTAAGGAGAAATCAACAGTTTAAAAAAATGAAATGACATAAATTTTAAACTTTAAAAATTTCAAAGGACAATCGCTGAATTATGCCGTTGTAAGACAAAAGATGTGTCCTCTGAACGTTGGTTCTTCCCTTGGTATTTCTCATGTAATGGAAGTGAGATAACAAAAAAGCTACTATGTAAAGGTTTACCTGCCTTTCTCCAATTGCATCCTAATTGCCCACAGACACTGCTACTCTTGAATGCCAGAGCTCATAAAAAGCTCAATGAAAACATCAGTTTAATGAAAGACCGTATCAAAATGGAACCATTATTACCACAGTATATCCCCCAATATTTTACCCTGAAAGATTATCATTTAGGCAAATAAGATCTATCAGAAATGGCATATCCTCATTTTCCCATCTTAATTAGGTTCAAAATGAACTCAGAAGTTCACAAGAGAAACTCTACTATCAGAAATCCAGTTTAAAAACAAATTCAAGTTAAAAGCAACTCCATGTTTAGAAACCTATCTAATTACAAATTAGAACAAGGGGAATTGTTCCAGGTAAAACAAAGTTGATAGAAAGAAACAGGAATCACCCAGGATTAATCCAAAATTAGCCCTGAAAAATTGATTCAGATTAACTAGCATCTGGAATTATTAACTGACAATGTTTTATAAGTATCTTCTCAGCTGGGAAATATAAAGCAGAGCAATCAACCAGCAAATTGTGGGCAAAGGAAAAGTTTTGGGGAGATTATCTACAATCAGTCTGCTGGATTACAAGAAATAGAGCATATACTTTCTATGCTGAAGGTCAAAGGATCAATCAATGGTCAGCTTCTGCAGGTACAACTGGGAAAGACTTGGCTGCAATACTGGAATCAATCAGTCAAAATTGGTAACACTGTACTAGGCTAGGGGGACTTCATATAAGCCCAATGCAGCCATTCCTAGACAATAATTAATTCATAGTTCATTGCTCAGACAAAAAAAAACAAAAACAAAATTAAAAAGAACAGAGCAGACTGGGGTAGTGTAGGAAATGACCAGGCTGAGCCCGAGGGTGGAGTCAAATGCATCATTAGTTACCTTGAAATCCATTGACTCTCATTTGGTGCCAATTTGCCTTGTCTGTTAGTAGTACAGATTCTTGTGTATAGGTAACATGAAATAAACTTGTAATACTTTTGAAAGCAATCCTGGTTCCCAATTTCTTGCACCTGACAGTTGGTGGGTGAGATTCTGAAAAAGTTAGCAAGGAAAATGCACGCAACTATACCAATCTCAGAAACCTTCATTTTTTAAAATAAAGATCATGTTCTGATTGGCAACATACACTATGACAACAATTTTGTAAACAACCATACCCTTAAGGGAGTCATTTTGTAATGATACCCAGAGTTCCTGTCAATTTTTTTTAAAATGACTGCAATCTTATACTTTAAGAATTCCTGTCTATTTGTCCTTGCTCATTATATTTACATTTTCTTCAGTGGAACATGAAAACTTACGTGGGGAAAATATCTAATTAGGACCTCATAACATACAGTTACAACCTGCTTTTTCTCTACCCCTATACATTTGCTGGTTGCTGAAATGCAGTCACTTTTTATGCAGGGCTAAATAGAGCATTGTATGAAAAAGTTAGTGCTATCTGCTACTACTGAATACTAGCGACTTAACATTACATTTCTTGCTATCTTTTTGTTGTATGCCTCTTAGAGAAGGTATTGCCCTACTAAGGCAATCTTAAAAGCTTTTAAAATAAATTAATTTAGCAGCATCTTAATGCGCCAAATTCTAGTAAGTAAAGCTCCTACTCCCCCATGCCAGGGAAAAATAGTGCCAGCCACTTTTCTAGATCACTGACTATTAAATGCAGCAAAACAAGATCCCATAGTTGCCAATTCTTATTCTGCAATGTCATGTCATAACGTATCTTCCCATTTTGTTAAGAATTTGTTTAAACTATTTATATTAGCAATAGCTGGGGATGCCAAGTATTTCTCCTTGAAACTTCCTGCATCTGTTCTTCCTTATTTAGCAATGTGAAAGAATCTGACATAGATTTGTAAGGGAATTGGTCTTATCATGACTGCACATTTACAGTAACAGTAAAAAAAAAAGTCTGATGTTGTTTTTATTCTCATCAAAAATCTGCAAAAATATACCATGTTTCCTTACAGAAAACAAGCATACCATGAAAATTTATATTAGAATAATTTATGTATATTAAAGAAATTAGCATGTTGAAAACTCCAGTAGGGAAATTTGGGGATAAAAAACTCCGGTGAAGTCTATAGCTGACTTTTAACTGAAGAAAGCACAATACAATAAAAATGTATAATAGTAACACCAGATTTATAGAAGTATTCATATTTATTAGATTTGTATCTTGCCTTTCATTCAGAGCTTGAGACAAAATGTACACCACTCAATGATCAGGGATGGCAGAGAGTAGATTTGAAACTGAGTTGAACTCAGTGGTGGGATTCAGCCAGTTTGCACCAGTTCAGCAGAACCGGTAGCTAATTTTTTGTTGCCCAGGCCCAGAATGGACTTCTAGAAGCGGCATCCACACAGAGAACCGGTTGTTCACATATCTGAATCCCATCACTGGTTGAACCCAATGCCAATTCAACACTTTAGCTAGTATACCACTATCTTATGTTCACTAAATCAGTCATCTCCCCGCTTTTTGCATCTCTTGTCCTGCCTCTAAGTATCTGCTTGACATGCATAACAGCCCACATTAATTTCTACTGTCATGCAGTAGAGTCACCCAACAGCTTCTCCAATGGTTTCAAAAGTTAACTGTTGCAAAGGCCACAAATATTACATTTGTTTGTTTGTTTTCTGCTTTTATTAGCTTTACAACTAACTCAAGGCAGCCAAACATATCCAACACCCCTTCTCCTCCTATTTTCTCCACAAGAACAGCCATGTGAGGTGGGTTGGGCTGAGACAGAGTGACTGTCCAAAGCTACCCAGCTGACTTTCATGGCTAAGGCGTGACTTGAACTTGCTTTAGCACTAGATTTAACTCGCTCTTATCCTGCCCTCATTTTATATACTGAGCATCTGCCCTCATTTTATATACTGTATGTACCAGCCTGGGAGTTAGGCTAAACTAGGAGAAGTTGAAGTCAAAATCACCAGCTGGCTTCAAATGAGGATTTGAACTTTGAACTCCCCAGTCCCAGTTCAATATATTAACTATTACACCATGCAGACTCATTGTGAGATAGCAAGTCATACCAAGAAGGGTTAATATCAAATTACTTCTTTCCAATCTTATTATCTCCCCCCCCCCCCTTTATGCCTTAGACTTCTATTGCTTTTAATGAGATGGACCAGCTTTTTCCTCACCAAGTCGTTCAGACCTTTCCAGCAATCTTTGATAGCCATTCTTTCTCTTTTTTCTCACCTCTTTAAAAACAGTTCCATCCCCATGCTTCATTAGGCCCTTTTTCTACTTCTCCCATGCGCAAGCTGCATATATCTATTCTATTACATATTTCTCCTGAATACCACATATATTATTACTTTGTTCCAATGGCTTATTCAGCTTGAAACATTCAGAGGGCCAAAAGTGATTTTGTTGAATCTTAGGACATGGAAAATGCACAAAATACACTGGTAAGTTATATCTCCTGAGTCAACAACCATCATACAATATTCCATATACAATAACACTTAGAATTTCACAATCAGTTAGGAAGTTTTTCCTTAATTCCAGGTTGCTTCTCTTCTTGAGTAGTTTCCATCCATTGTTCTTATCCTGCCCTCTGGTGCTTTGGAAAAATAAGCTGTTCTTTATGGCAGCCCGTCAAATACTGGAATACTGCTATCATGGGACCCCTAATCCTTCTTTTCTCTAGACTAGCCAAACCCAAATCCTACAACCATTCTTCCTATGTTTTAGTCTCCAGGCCTTTAATCATCTTAGTTGCTCTTCTTTGCACTTTTTCCAAAGTCTCAACATCTTTTTTGTAATGTGACCCAAAACTGGGTGCAATATTACAGGTGTGGCGTTACTAAGGCTGTATAAAGCAGTATTAATAGTTTATGTGAGTTTGATTCTATGTCTCTGTTTATACAATCAAGGGTTGTATTAGCTTTTTTGGCTGCTGCTGCATACTGCTGGCTCATGTTTAACTGATTGTTCACTAGGATTCCAAGGTCCCTCTCACAATTACTGTTTTTGAGCCAGGTTTCATCTAGTTGTATTTGTACCTCTGGCTTTTCTTGCTACAACAATTTGTTAAGTCTTTTAAAACTAAAAAAAAAAAAAAAACCTATTACTGTAATAGTTTTTTTAGGTATTTGTTATAAATCAATCAATTTGTTATACAGAAGTTAGAAGTTGAGTGGAATAAAGAATTAGAGGGTCCCATATTGCCTAGACAATGGGAGTGTGTCTCAACTTCTATAGGGAGTGTTAATGGACTTT